GGTCACTGGAGTTGATGATTTAAACAAATACCACAGTTCAAGAGGCACCTAACACTGTGAGGAAAGGGTTGAAAAATAGCATTAATCTGCTGGGTGTTTTAAACACACTCTTCCTCTATGGTTAACATGAAGATAAACCAAGTAGGGCCAGCTTTGCATTTTTCTTTTGGGTCAAAGGAAGTCACTGAGATATAATTTCATGTCCTACTTTGAAAACTGAGGGCTTGGTTGTTATCATGACTTAGGCCATGTTTGGGATGGATTATGCTGAGAGAGAAAAGTTGCTACAGTGCGCAGACTATTTAACTCCTTAGGAAAGGAACATGATAGTTTCTCAGACCTCAGGTGAAGTCCAAAAGGCAAGTTTCTTAGCACAAAGCTGGGGTCGAGGTGCTGGGTTTTGGGGTGTTGGTAGCATCTAGCTTACAGGTAGGTAGAGCAGACACTGAATTCTATTAGGGAAGTAAATCCAATTGTGAATGTCTCTCATGTGGGAACTGTACTCTTCTTTGTTACAGCTTGATCTAAATGTCCTCCAAAAGGCTCTTGTGTTCAAAGGTTGGGCCTTTGGAAGATTGTTGGATCATGAAGTGCTAAATTCATCAGTGGATCAATCAATTTATGAGCTCAGAGCTGAATGTACTGTTAGGAGGTTGGGCATGGTTAGAGGAGCAGGTCACTGGGGATGTGACCTAAGAGAGTGTGCTCTTGTCCCCAGACCCTGCCCCTCTCTCTGGCTTTCCCCAGTATGCTCTGCTTCCTGGTTGCCATGAGTTGTGCAGCTTTCCTTCACCATGGCCTTCTGCCATGATGTCTAGTCTTGGAGGAAGCCAACCATGAACTGAAACCTCTGAAACTGTGAGCCAAAATGGGTGTATTTAAGTATTTTGTCCCAGCAACAGAAAAGCTGACCAATACCTCTTCATCAGATGGGGTGTCTACAAAGAAGAAAAGATTTTAGACAAAGGTTTGCAGAAACTAACTTCACCTCCTTCCACGTTATACTAGAGTCATTCCAGAGGGCTGAAGACTTCACCAAATACCTTTGCATGTGTCTTAGTTCTGTTTATGTCAGGTTAGAAATGTTTCTTTTTCTTTCAGAATAATGACCAAAAAGATTTAGCGAATGACTTAATATCATGTAGACTTGTTTCCTTGTCAGTCAAGGGGCAGCCAAGACTGCCCCTAATATATGGAGATGTAGGAAGTGCTTGCATGCAGCAGGTCCTCATTAAGCAGTAATTCTGCATCCAGGCTCCACTCACACCAAAGGTCACCATGTGAAGATACGCCCGAGTCCACCTATGTCAACGTGATTTAGTTGTTTGTCCCAAGGAAATTTGGAGGATGAGGCTCTTAATGAGAACTAACTTCACTGTTTGCTTTAGGAAATTCCTACAATCAACTTATTGGAGAAACTAGCATGCAGGTTCACTGGGCAAACAGCTAGCTTATTAGGACAACAGCTGACTTCCCAAGGGAGTTTACTTCAAGGCAGTCCTTTGGCTGAGTTCACCAATCCTAAATGACCAATTTCCAAGTTTCTTGCCTAGAAAAACCTGCCTTCAACAACCTGACCCCAGCTCTCAAAGCCCTAGGAACGTCACACTTCTGACTTTGCCCTTCTGAGACTTCTATCCAGGTGGTGTTTTTTCTCACTGCAGTGAGCTCAAATAAATTTAACTTTGCCTAATTAACAATTAATTGGCCTGTGGCATTCAGGGCATTCAACAGCCATCACTAACTATATCATGGGTCCCATCCCTTTGATTTATGCCTTATTTGTGTGGTGGACACAACTCCCTCCACACTGCTTGCCTGAGTGCTCGCCTTGAGCTGCTCCCGTATTAAATTGGTCTTTTCATCTCTTCTTTTCCTCCCTCCCTCCCTCCCTCCTTCCGTGGTTTCTCCCTCCTTTCCTCCACCTTGGAAGGGCTGGGGATAACATAGCTCAAAAGGTAGTTCACTCACAGTACTACAAAAAAAGGAAAATGTACAATTCTATCTTTTTAACTTAAAACTTTTTTTACACCTAGAATGGAATTTTTTAGTTTAAATGTTTTCCTTTCTAATCCATTGAAATGTTTTTAATCAATAAATCATAATTGTATATATTTATGGGCTTTAGTGCTCTGATACATACATACAAGTAGAACATGAAATTAAGCAAATTAGTATTTTTTACCCCATACACTTATTTTTGGGGAGATGAGAACATTTGGCATTTATTCTTAGCGATTTTGAAGAATGCAGTACGTTATTACTAACTACAGTCAGCCTGCTGTACGATTGACCTCAGAAACCAGTTCCCCTGCCTACCTGAACTTTCGTACCCTTTGACTAGTAACTCCCCAGCCTTCCTCCCCTTCCCACCCTGCTGCCTGCCATGCTGCTTTCTACTTCAGTGAGCTTGGCTCCTGGATCCCACATGTTAGCGAGACCATGGAGTTTCTGGATGACTTCAGTTAGAATAATGTTCCCCAGGCTCAGGAGTGTTGGCAGCAATGACAGCACTTCCTTCTTGTTCTTGGGATAGCTAGCACTTCATTGTGCATAGAGACCATGTTTTCTTCATCTACTCACCTGTGTTGATACACATGCAGCTTGATTCCATCTCTTGAACAGTGCTGCCCCGAACTCGGGAGAAGATGGTCCTGCAACACTCAGACTTCACATCCCTTGGACAAATACCCCGGAGTGGGACCGTGAGATTGCTGGGCTGCATGTGGCTGTATTTTTAGGCTTTTCAGGAACCTCTCAACTCTTATCCTATGGATGTACTAATGTACATTCCTGCTATACCTACAAGGGACCCTTTCCCCCCACATTTTTGCCAGCTAGGTTGGGGTTCTAAGGGAACAGCATAACACACAGCCTAAAGAGTGTCATGCATTCTGGTTGCCTTTTGTTTGCAAGTCTTAGAGACCCCTAAATGCTTGCCTCCTTTGGCTGCTGGGGACCGCCTGGCTCAGGATCCTTTTCCCTTTAGGGCACCTGATTGCTCAGCATCCACAGCACCTGCTTGGTCATTCCTAAGAAGAACCTCAGGCAGCAGCTGGAGCTAGAGTCTCTGCTCAGGTGGCCAAGATGGAAACAGTTGTGAGTGACAGGTGCCGAGCCGGTGGTGATGTGGGGAGGCCCCTTGCTCTGCTCCAGGTGTCTCCCTGAGCCTGGTGGATGGGCAGCTAATGGCTGGACTTTCATTCATGTGACTTGGGCTGAATTCTCTTGTTAGCTGCCAGCCTGACTTAAAACAAATATGACTCCCTAAGCTTCGTTTTCCATGAAACAGAATATTAAATCAGCCAAAGTTTCTCCATCTGGCTCTTGGCCGCAGCATACTCCCTAAGGAAGAAAGAGGAAGAAAACCCATGCCCTGTATTTTTAAAAACCTGTACAGCAGGCACATTTTAAACGTATGCTAATTCATAGGCTTTTCTTTCTATTTCCAGGCAGCACAGACAAGTAGGATTTTAACTGGAAGTTCTGTAGAGACCACATTATAGTCCTTCCCAATCTGGGTCTCCCTGGGGTCTCGGGGTTAGGATTGCCAGATTTAGCAAATCAAATCAGATGAAGCACAGTTAAATTTGAATTTCAGAAAAGAGCAAATATGTTTTACATATAAGTATGGCCTAAATATCACAGGGGACATACATATACTAAAAAAAGTGTTTCTTGTTTATCTGAAATTCAAATTTAACTGCTTGTTCTGTGTTATACCTGGCAACCCTCCTTGGGGTTCATAAAAGTGCTTGAACTAAAGCCAGGTCTTGCTTGAGCACACTGTACGCCTGCTTATGCTTCTTAAACTGATTTATTAAGTTACTATGTGGTGGGGAGCAGTCTCTGATTAGTGAGAGACTACAAAAAAGGCACTGTCACATCGAAATGGAAGTTTACTATGGGGATGATGGAAAAGGACTGAGTCAGGTCTTTGGAGTTCAGGCTTCAGGGAGGGAATGGCGAAGCGCCCAGCAGAGATCTTCAGTGTAGCGGCTGAAAACAATATTCATCTGTCACAGCATGGCTTAAAAGTGTATCTTTCTATCATTCTCGCCAGGCTCATGCCCTGGGTAATGCAGTTAGCGAGTCAAGTTCACGACACCACGCTGATTGTGGCCAGATGTGAATCTTGCTGTTTTCTGTGTTATTGTTGTTAAATTATCTTCGCACTGCTGAACAACGACACGCAATGAAACTTCTAATATACAGTAGTCAAAAGCCCTGCGTCACAAGGTCTGCGGAACCCAAGTTCATCTTGAAAGCATTGTCCATACCTTCCACCTTTGTCTGAAATCCATTTGTTCATCTTGGTATCGGAAAGCTCAAGAGTCCTACATTTGCACTCCGAAAAAACCCCAACTTCTGGGGAAAAAATGTTGATGTAGCTATTGTTTTCATTATCGTACATCATCTCCACATTACTATGGGAAAGAGCCCATTTTCCCTTTAAGTGTTTTTGGAGAGCCTGTATGTAAAACACCAAATGCAGCAGCGCCCTCCACTGTCGGTTCAGAGGAATGCAAGCTGCGAGCCTCTATACCCAGACAGGAAACAGTGCTAGGCTGAAGGTCATTCTACTTAGAGGCAGATTTCCTCGTTCTAATTAAAGGCAGATTCCCTCGCTGCTGGCAGCACAGGCCTCAGAGTGCCCGAACATAACTGGTGAGAATCATGCCGTTTTTCTTAAATAGCAAAATCAGTATAAAGAAGTGTCCATTATCTCGTGATGGGAGCTAAGAATCATCTCTAGTGAGTTTCACTATGACATCGTTGCAAAGGATAGAAGACCCTTTACCTTGATTATATTTCCACTCTGCTTTATATTGAAATAGAGCTTGACAGACCAAAGCAAATTGGAATCAGATGAGTTCCCAACAGTGGTGAGAGGAAGCTAGATTTGTGCGCTGACCCTAGAACCACAGGCTTTGTGAATTTCAATTTGCTTTGAGCTGGGTCCAGCACACCTGAGAGCCTACACCAGACCCCAGGGGCAGCCCGCCCGGAAGGGTGGAAGTGTCCGTCTGTCCACAGGGAAAGCGGTTTGTGAGCCAGGTCTTCTCCCCGAGGTGACCACCACTCATGTGCTCTCTGGTCTCATCTTAGAATTCCTCTTGCATCCTGGACTGAAAGCCCAGTGTTACAGGGATGAGAGTTCTTAAAACTCTCCTGGTTCTGCCTCTTCCTTTTATGCTTTGGAAGTCTGACGTGACTATCTAAATCCTTGAGTCATCTCTATGTAAGTATTTTATTTCAACTAGCTGCAGTGCTGCTAATAACTTACTCTGTTGTTAAAGTCAGTGGCAAAATGAATTTTCAAGATGTTTCATAAGAGACCCACTATTGTGGAGGAGCTGGGGGTGGGGGGCCGTGTTCAGCTACTTGGCTAAGGTGACCGAAGGATTTGGTTTTTTTGTTTTGTTTTGTTTTTTGGTACTGGGGATCAAACTCAGGTCCTTACACTTGCGCAGCAGGGGGAGAAACCACGGAGCTAAATCCCCAGGCCCTGAAGCATTTGATTTTATTGCATTCTGAGTATGTTTTATTCTTGGAGATGTATGAAGTCACACCCAAAGAGATGAGTGGTTAGTTTCAGTCTGTTGGTGAGTTGTTCTTCCAGAACGCTGGTATGTGAAGTGGAGAGGAAAGCATACTCAGGACAGGCCTAGAACCAGGTTAGAATTCTTTACTGGCTTGTGTAGACACTGTAGAAACAAGTTAACTTCAGGCCCAAATTAATATGCTTAACATAATGGAAACAATATTATCCTATAAGTAATAAAAGAGATAAGGTACAGTATCTCGGGCTATTTTTCTTTCATAGACCAAAGAACTTTATTAACTCTCTTAGTTTTAGTTTTCTGGGTCTTAGATTTATAAAACTGTAAAGCAACATACATATATATATATATATATATATATATATATATATATATATATAAAGCAAAGCAAACCACAACAAACGAGTAGATTTTCTTTTTAAAGGTCCTTAAAGTATCTAAGTATCTTCCTAATTTGGGCCACACAGCCAAATGTTTCCAATGAATTATGGTCACAGACTTAAAGAAGCCAATTGTCTGTGGATGTTAGGGTCTCAGAAATCTAGCCTGGAAATCTAGTTAGAAATGAGTCTTCAAACCATCCTCCTTCGCCCACACTGTGGGTTTCTTCCGTCACTACTGTGACTCCGAAAGGTAGCCGAGGGGCAATTTAGCCTCTGGTTTTCTCAAAGGTGCTATGTAGACCTCTTCTGTGACCAATTTCCATAAAGTTCGTTTAGCAGTTCAAACTTTATTAAGACTCTTGACGAAAACAGCTGCTAGAATTGCATAGGAATGTAATAAAAAACACAGAGTCAGAAACAACCAGAGTCTATAAAAACAATATCCACAGAGGCCAAGCCCCCTTCGGGGCACAAACTGATCCCAGAACCGTCCACACCATGCTGATCCCGGCGTGGGCAGACAGCAGGACACCCAAGCGCTGAGCTGGAGACAGCCTGCCATCCCTGGCTGATAACCAAATTAAGGTCCCGGCAGGACATGGAAGGAAGAGCAGGACAAGCAGGGGAAGGCACGGTAGTGTTAGAGACTGAGGAAGACTGGAGCAAGTTCATTTTATGTTGGTTTTATTATGCAGTAAAAAAGTCTCCAGCATATACTCGTTTACTAGAAAGAAAACAATAAATGTTCAGTTGGTTGTAGTTTCCATATTAGCTCGAAGGGGCCCAAACTGGAGTTAGCCCAGGAGCCTGTGGGGCATTTGGAAATCTCGGGGAAATTTCAGGTCTGAAGATGGAGATGTAGTAGGAATTCGATTGGCTTTGACAATCTGCTACTGTTCAGCTTCTTCAGTTTGGGCCTCTTTGGTGTATCCTTAAGGCCTTATTGAAAGCACCCTTAGGCATTTCGGGGGAAAATGGGAACCCAGCTGCTGATGTTGCTTTCTACACGTGAATGTAATATTCAGAAGATGGAAAATTGGAAAACATGGTTTATTTTTGTGGTTTTGACTGAAATCACACATGAGGCGGTTTGAAGAGGTCGGTGTCACAGTGGGGGAACTGGAACGAAGACTCGGCTCTCTCCACAGCACGCCCCCTCCCAGGGTCAGGAGAGGACCCTGTCCCAGACTCGGGGCAAGCATATTAGCTCTGCACTAGGTTGTGGGGATAGATGTGATAGAGCCTGGCCTGCGGTCACCCCTGGAGAGTCTCTTTGGGGATCGTGGGAGCGACGTAACCTGAGTTCTATCTCAGCAGGGTGTGAGCCCACTTGGGGAAATGGAGAGCGGCCGCTTGCACCATCTTCGATGGCGAAGCAATCACTCTGTTTTCCTTCCGTGTTACTGCTGTGCCCTGGGTTATCCAGAGCTGTGGCCCTGCCACTCACGTGCTAATTCATTCGCTCACTCATTCGTTTGTTCATTCATCCAACAAACAGGTAAGAGCTTGTTGTGTGCGGCCACTGTGCTGAGCAATGGGGATGCAGAGGGACATGTGGCCCTGCCCTCAGGCCTCCGGAGTTCAGAGACATGGACAAAGGCGGTGTCAGTTTGGAGCTGAGGAAGGAACCAGAGGAAGACAAAATAACTCCAAGTTAGTGTCTGTGGGAGTCCTAAAAGGATTCAAGTGCAGTAAGGATGGGCTGAGAACCGACAGTCGGACCAGGCCAAGGGAGAGGAGGCAGGGGGGTCTGCAGGCTGGGGGCTCCTTCCTGTGTGGGGAGAGGAGCTGGAGCGTGGGCTGCAGGCTGCGGGGCGGGGAGAGGGGCTGGGCACGCCCCACTTGGCCGGAGGTAACATGGCAGCTCCTTCCTGGGGACCCCTGGCTTCTCCCCACTCAGCCTGCATCCTGCTAGAAGACCTCTGTCTCCTTGTGCTGGAGGCGTCTGCTGGGCCCTGGTTTCCCATCTCATTTGAGGGTGACTGAATGGCTCAGCTGTCCAAAGTCACCACGCAGAAGTGTGGGCTACAACCTGGGTTTTACAGCTGCCGGTCTGTGTTCTGGGCACAGGGACTGAGCAGACCCTGAAAGAGCCCCTTCCCCCAAACACTGGACACCATGAAGACACAGCCACACCTGCTCCGTGAGCACCTGCAGAGGGAGCCCCAGTCAACGGTGGTGACCCACAGGCTGAGGAGGTGGCGGCAGCTTTGGGGGTGACCCAGGCACTGGCAACTTTGCCCTCTCCAGCAGCCACAGAGCCAGGGGACATCACCCGGACTGGGTGTGCGGGGCCCTTTTAAAAGTTTCTTCAACTTTACTAAGAAATAATTCATGTCCCATACAGATCCACCTATTTCAGTTGTCCAGTTCTACAGGTTTTGGTATACTACATTATTAATATTTTTAGATTATGCTAAAATGTGTGTAACATAATCTGCCAGTTTAACAACCTTGAAGTATACAGTTCAGTGGCATTATTTACATTCACAGTGTGGTGCACTGATCACCATATCCATTTTTAATACTCTTTCATCATCTCAAATAGAAACTCTGTCTAATGGCTATTAAATAATAGCCTTCCATTTCTCCCTCCCTGCCCCCTGCTAACCTTTAATCTACTTTCTGTCTCTACGAATTTGCCTTTTCTAGATATTTCATGTAAGAACTATACAGTGTTTGGTTTCTTGTGTGTTTGACTTATTCCACTTAGCATAATGTTTTCAAGATTCACCCATGTGGTACCATCTCTCAAAAATCCATACCTCGTCATGACTGAACAGTGGTCCACTGTGTGTATGCATTACATTTTGTTCCTCTGTTGGTGCACACTCAGGTTATTTGCACCCTTTGGCATTTGTGAATAATGCTACGGTGTATCAGTATCTGCTCAAGTCCTTGCTTTCAATTTTGGAGATATTGCTTGGAATGGAATTGCTAGATCATGGAGTAATTCTAGTTTAGTTCCTTGAGGAACTGACATACTGTTTTCCTCAGTGGTGCTACCATTTTGCATTTCTACTAGTAATATATGAGTATTCTAGTTTCTCCACATCACCAACACTTATTTGCCACACGTTAAAAAAATAATTATTACAGCCATCTTAGTGGATATAAGGTGAGATTTCCCTGTAGTTTTGATTTGCATTTCTCTAGTGACCAGCAATGCTGGGTATCATTCCACGTGTGTGTTGGCCATTTCACTATATTCCTGCAAGAAACGTCTATTTATCTCCTTTGCCATTTTTTTTTCTTTAGTACCGGGGATCAAACTCAGGACCTCGAACTTTCGAGGAGGCAGGCACCAGAACCACTGAGCTACATCCCCGGGCCCATCCTTTGCCAAGTTTTATTGTGTTATAGCTGTCCTTCAGACATCCTGGATATTTGGGCTTTATCAATACATAATTTCTAAATATTCCCTACCATCCTGAAGGTTGTCTCTTCATTTCTTAAAACTGTCCTTTGATGGATGACAACTTTTTCAAAGCGGGCTAATGGATTGTATCTGTCCCTCCGTCCACTGCTTCTTTGCTGCTTCTGCCCTCTCTGAAGACCCAGGATCCCGTGAGTGCGGGTGGGAAAGGATGTTGATGTGCCTGGTCACCAAGGGGTCCTCAGCTGGCTTCTCACAGCGATCCTTTCTTTCCTGAGGGCATCACCCTGTGGAGTATAAAATTCCTCATGGTGAATTAATCATTTCCCATCTATGGCAGCTGCTTTTCAAAGTAAATATTCCAGCCATCTTCTCACGCCTGGGCAAAGTCCTAAGCCCTGCTCAGCCACATCTGCTCCAGCATCGCAGGTGTCAGGACCACGTGGTCACAGAGCTCCGCTGCTGCCTGGCCAGACCTCTCTGCTCTCTAGCGTGGGCAGAGATGTTCGGGATGTTTCAAATTAAGCTGGGTGTGGGAACCTGGGCCTGCCATAAAACGACAGGCACCTCAAAGCTAAGGTCACAGCAGAGGATGCCGCTCATGTTTTCCAAATGAGCCCAAGGCTGAACTCAGTGTTCTGCACGGAGTAGTCCAGTTTCCTTAACAGGCCAGGGCCACTCAGCTCACTTGCACCCACGCTGGCCACCAGCCCTCCCTCCCCATCCGCTGTCCCCAACTCGGTGGTCCTGGGGACAGCAAAAGTGAATCTGTTCTCCAGGACCGGGCCAGTGAAACTCAACCAGAGTTTCATGTGTCTTCTTTTTTCTTTTATTTTTACTACAGAAAATTCTGAGCACATGTAAACCCCCAGGCACCCAGTAGCTGGCTTCACAATCGTTCACCCACGGCCAGTCTTCTCTCAGTCATACCTGCCCGCAAAGACACTCTCCCTGCCTGCCTGGGGCCATTCTGAAGCAAATCCTCAGCCTCAAATATTTCATTCATAACAGTTTCAGATCATACCTCTAAAATCTAAGGACTCACAGAGACATGAATCCATGATCACCTGTCAGTGTATTCACAGTAATTCTTTAAGATCATACCACATGCAATCATGGGTCACATTTCCTATCACCTCATTGATCTTTTAATTTTTCTACTGTTGGTTTGTTGGAATCATGTATCCAAAGGAGATGTTTCCATTGTATTTGGTCCATGTTTCTTTTAATCTACAGACGACGCTGGGTTTTGAATCAGCCAAGCCTGGTCCTGGGGTAAGGGGGCAGCGGGCAGTGTGTCCCAGAGGTGGCCTGAGTTTGTCTCCAGGGATTGCTTGCAAGTTGTGATTCTTAGAGAATAGGGTTAAGATTGGAGGAGATGGGAGAACTTTATGGGGCATATTTGCTCGGTAGCATTTGACATTTTTATCACGTTGAATGTATTTAGGTTTGTGAAATACAATGAGTTTAAAATAAAGAAGGGAATAAAATAAGTATAGTGAATCACACAGCACAACACACACTAGATATGCACATGGGTTGGAGACAGGATGGAAATGTGACAGTAAGGAGACTGGGGGGCCTGGATCACAGGACTGCACCCGCAGGGCCCCCAGTCAGCCTTGACTCTCCTTCCAGCCTGAGGGACAGCAGGGAGGAGGACTGGACACTGCTTGGCCCTGTGGACATGCCACTTCCTGCATGTGGATGCAGGCCCTCTGCCTCCCCTGGCCGTGTGAATAAGACCCTGCTCTGATGCTGCTGGAAGTGGGCTAGATTGAACTTCCCTGTTTTTCTTAAGTGGGTAAGTCTTTATCACCGCAAGGACTTTCTAACCTTTAGTTGCCTATTGATCTCTGCTCCTCATCTTTTCAACTCAGTGGGCATTCCTATATTTACTTAACCAGTTGGCTTTTCTCACACTTATTTAATGAATAAATACATGCGGTAGTGAGGGAGCTACAGTTTTGTACCGATGAACAGAATTTTCCTACTGTACAGGTAATATCATCTCACCTGTATAAACTGGTACCTATTCTTTTTTCCACGTTTTTGGTTTATTCCATGCCAGGAGGAATAATATTAGATTTTTTAAAACAGACTATTTTTAGAGTCATTTTAGGCTTACAACAAAGTGGAACATGAAGTACGGAGAGTTTCCACACATCACTCCCCACTGTGCACAGCATCTCCCTGTCACTGTGCCCACCCAAGCAGGACACATGTTCCTGCTGCTGAGTCCACGCCTCCCATCCTCAGCACCCAGAGTGCGTGGTGTTCAGCAGGGCTCACTCCTGGCATTTCACATTCCGTGGGCGTGCACCAAAGTGTAATGACATGTAACCACCATCATAGTAGCACCAGAGTGGTTTTATTGCCCTAAAAGCCCCTGTGCTCTACCTATTTATCCTTCCCTCTAATCTCACCCACTGGCTTTTCAGGTCATTGGCTGCTAACTTTTCTTCCCAGACTCTGGCATCTTTTATGTTTTTGTTTTTTTTTTGTTTTTTTTTTGGTGCCGGGGATCGAACTCGGGTCCTTGCGCTATCTTTTATGTTTTCCAGACCACTGGGGCTCTTAAGTTTCCATCTGACCCTGGAGAATTTGTGGTCCTGAGCTCTGTGGCCCCTTACTTAGGCTCCAAGTCAGCCCCTTCTTTGTCTCACTGACTGCCATTGTAAGTTTATTTATGTAAATGGAGAAATCACAAAACAAAACACACCAACTGAGTCAGGGCAGAACAGAGAAATAAAGGGGGATATGTTAATATTATGCTAATGACATTTTGATTGTTCAAAGAATGTTATTTTTCTCCAAGGATTTGATTTGTTGATTTGTATGGATGGGTAGTACTCTGTTGGAATATAGTTATTTATTTTCATTTTATAATTGTAACTTCTAGAATTAAGTCATCTCAAGGCATAAGTACAGAGGAATAACAGTTAATTAAAATATGTGACTGGTGTACAATTACCAGTTTAAAAATCAGTAAAATATATAAGATCTTTCTTACTTATACAAATTAAGACTGAAAGGTTATGTTGTCTTGGCCAAGGACCCAGTTGCAAAAGTCCTGGGTAATTCAACCTCATGTAATTCCCTGTTTCAAGCTGGGATGATAGATGTCCATGACACTTATTTATGTTGACACAAAGTGGTTAAGCTAAGCACAAATGTTTGATAATAACAATGTATACAGCAGGCCTGGAAATAATGAAGTTTCTTTACTATTTCAGAATTAACTTTTGTGGAGGTAAAAGCCAGAGATTGAGGAAAGAAGAAAGAAGAAAAGGAGAAGGAGAAGGGGGAGAAGAAAAGGAAAAATTCTTGGCATAAATTGCTCATCGACAGGCGATTTTCATTAAAGCAGAGCTTGGATCAACTCAGGAAAGCTTGATAAATCCCTGATAAGGTGCCAGATGTTCTAATGAACTTTCTTGGGGGTTTTGCCATTTCAAGTTGATGTGTTTTGCCCAAGAGCCAAGGATTGGGATGGTCCCAGCATCTGATATTGATTCTTCAAAGAAGCCCCCTTCCCCCAGCCTCTGGACACAGAGTGCCCGCTGGAGAGGCTGTAAATTGGATCAGCCTGGTAGAAACTGTAGTCAAGCCTGGAAGCAATATTCCAGCTCACTTTTCCAGGAACAGTGTCCTGAGAAAGAAAGAAAGTCCTTGGGATCCTTTCACCGCCTAGCCATGGTGGGTATGTGTTTTCGACAGAGGCATGCTGTCTTCTAAAACCTCACACTTTTTCAAGGCTGCTTCTTGGAGCCTTGAGCAATGAGAAGAGTCACTTAAAAATCATTTATCAACAATTTGGTGGTTGATTCCCAGGCTCTTGGGATTTAGAGATGGACAGGCAGTGTCTCTTTCCTTGAGGAGCTTTTCGGCGTATGGGGCAAGACTCATGTAAACTGGTAAAAGCCACGATGCGCCAGAGGTACAAGGAGCACGTTATTGCCCCAGGGTTCTGAGCCTGAAACCCCTGCTGTTGGATCTGATGGCTTCCTACACCTAGGGTTCTTATATGTGCAGGGGGCCACTAGGTCCACTTAACTCATTTCAATGAAGAAAATTTCCCCATTGCTCTAAATTTTATAAAATTGATAATAGAAGAAGAAAAAGGACCTAGGTAGCATGACTACCAGCAAAAAAGTGACTGTTTAAGGGAGGGACTGGAATGCAGACTTGAACTGCAGCTCCCACTGTGCCTGATCTGACACATCTCACCTGTGAACAGGCTCTAAGTATACAAAATGCTATGGCCCTACCCAAACACTATCCAGTTCTGTCACTAAACTTAGAGATATTTCACTTCAAATCAAGTTATATAATGGTTTAAAAAAATTAGATCAGCCTTCATTTCATCCCACCTACACAAAGGTGGAAGGACATCACATCCGTCAGTCTATCCCACTGTTCTCAATGCTACGTTGTAGCTGCATTCTTTTAATGCAGTAATAGGCTGTGAGGTCTGGAAGAAGTTTAGTCCCTGGATGGAAGATCATTTTTATTTTAAAAGCCCAAAGCAATTGGTTGGTAGGAGCCTGGAGCCCTGGGCTGAGAAGGATTCTGGGTTCATGTTGGGTCTCAGATGCATCCAGGAGGTCGACTGTGGACATGGAGATGTTCAGGGATGGCATCCCCCTGCTTACCAACTCCATTTCTCATGGATAACGAAATGGGCTGCCCAATCCACTGACTTACAAAGAGTCCCTGGGTGAGTGAGGGGATGGAACTGAGGACCTTTGCACTGAGCTACATCCCTCAGCTGCAGAGGACCAGCTGCTGGAGAAGGCGAGGGGAGGCGTCCAGAGGAAGCAGCTGCTCGCTTGGGCACCCGCACGGCTCAGCCTCTGCTGTGGGATGGCACGCTGGGGCCCTAAGAGGTGTCGGGGCACCGGCTGAGTGCGCTGCCCACTGGAGGCATTTTCTTGGGGGGTGGAGCTGGGGGAGCAGGACGTGACCGAGAAGGACCGAGGGTGGGGAGAAGGGGCGCTCTGGCGCACGGGGGCGGATTCCCTGCACGAGCGGCTGGCGATTAGTCACACTTGGTTCCAGCCTCGGTTCCAAACCTGGCTTATCTTTAACACCCAGTCTACTTCAAGACAAACAACATAGAGAAGAGGAAAAACATCGTGGGATCATTTGGAAATACTTGCGTCACAGCTCAAACGACAGAGGTGGCCCTGGAGGGAGAGGATGTAGGTGCCAGTCCTCCTTGTTCCAGGCCTCCAGCTCCCTCTTTCTTGAGTGAAAAGTACTTTTGGTAGATATTCCATGCCGGGATTTAGAAACTGATATTTTGTTCCAGGAGTTCTTTATCCTGTGATATCTCCAAACCAGGTAGTCTAACCCCAAATTTCAAGAAATAGTGGGAATTCCAACATCTTAATGGAGCTGAAAAGAACAGCATATTTGGGAAGAAAAAAATGATTTCATTGTGAGGATTTCTGCACTAACCACGCAGCAAAATTTGAGGTCTAGAACAGTAAAAAAGCAAAATTTTTTTGTTGTATTCAAACAGAACATAAGACCACACAGTGTGGGAACGGCAGTGAAGACACAAAGACACATTCACTGACTGTAACTCAGCAGTCCTACCATCTACCTGATCAGAAGATTTCTGAATTCTACCCTGAAATTTGTTTTCCCATTACTGGGATTGAAGTAAGGACCTTTGCACTGAGCTGCATCCCTAGCTCATTTTTATCTCTCATTTTGGTATAGGTTCTCACTGAGTTATTAATTGTCCAGGCTGGGCTTGAATTTGCAGTTCTCCTGCCTCATCCTACCAGAGTGTTGGGATCGTAGGTATATGCCACCACACTTAGCCTCTGCTGTGAAACTGTAAAAAGAAATGATACAATGAGCAGACTGACTGAAAGTGCTCGCAGGCTGACTTTGTGCAGCCTAGTAGATAACTCTTTGAAACTAAGAGTTTCCTGTTTTTCCAGGAGGACCTGCTCCAAACTTTTCTTCTCTTGGGACTGGGGATTCCTTCTGCTTTCAGGGAGACTCCGGTTTTTCCCAGATGCCTAGATTCTGATGGCTGATGTGGGAGAAGAGTTTAATCCTATAAACAGTAACACTCTGCTAGGGTTTGAGCCGAGTGTCTCCCAAAAGCCCTGTGTTAGAGAGTTTGGTCCCAGCCCATGGTGCTTTCAGAGGTGGGGCCTCATGAGAGGAAGTGAGGTCACTGAGAGTTGCCTTTCCAGGGGATATTGGGACCTTGGACACTCCTTGTCTCTTTTTGCTTCCTGGATGCCACGAGGTAAGCAACCTCCTCCACTGCACTCCTAGCATGAGGCATTGCCTTACCGCAGTCCCCAAAGCAATGGACCAAATGGCTATGGACTGAACTCTCTGAAACCACGAGCCAAATCAGTTATCTCACGTGTTTTGTTATAGTAATGGAGAACTGACTAACACACACCCCATCCCCAGATTGAGTGACACAGCAGCCTGTCTATTCACCAAGGACAGGACCACTTTGCCATGATGACTTTTTTAATAGGGAGGCCCAATCCCCCTGTCGGATTTGGTGCTTCCTCTGGAACCTAGACCTCTACTGCAGGTCCCACATACTTTGGTCTGGCTCCTATCTCTGTGGGACGGCAGGAAGTCGAGGGGACCTGTGCCTTCTCTTCTCTTGCTGACCCTGGGACAAATAAGGTTTTTTCTGAGAGAGCCTGTTTTTCAGCTTCTGGGGTGCAGCTCTGCAATGGCGCCTTGCCCTAGCACAGGGCAAGTGGAGGCTCAGAGGGGACCATGCTGAGCAGGAAGTCCCCACCCTGCATGGCTCTGTCTTGCCTCCCTTAGTGGAATTACACCATTCAGGTGAGGGGACTAAACTGTCCAGCCTGCCACACCTCCTCCATGTGAGGAAACTAAGGAAAGGACATGTGAGGAGACTGGGAGATCACAGAGCAGCTGTGACAGTTAACAGCTATGATGAATGAAGGGTGAGAAGTGGGCAAAGGAACATGTGGCCAGCAAATGCACAAAATGAGCCCTAGAATCGGGTCCTCATCCTGTCCCTGTGTTCACTTAAGATACTCAGTCTCTAAGGCTCATCAATGTCATGGAAACACAGTGTTTCCCCTGCTTATGACTCAGGGTTCTCAGCTTGTCTTCTCTCTGCCAGTTGGCCTCCCCGCCCTCTTCCCTTTGGCTTCCATAAATGTGCTCTAGTTTCATTTTGCTAACTAGTGGCAATTTAAACCTCCCAAAATGTGAGCTGATTATACCTGCTCATCTCAGGCATTTGTTACGGTAACAGAAAGCTGACTAGCATCAGTCTTGCATCTGAACTGGGAACACATTCATGGAAGAAGCCTTACCTACAATCCCAAATTTTGAAGTAGAACTTGAACTCTGACAAGTAACCAAATATCTAGTCACTCTCACTGCTGGGTGGTAACTAAATAGATGGCTAATAGAGCTGCAAGATGAATGAGGTTTGTAGGACAATTAGAAATTCCTTAAATGTGCAAAAGAAAAATGGGATAGAAAATATTAAGCATGATCTGATATTTGGGAGAAAAGGCTTGATACAAACTTTACTTTTATTTAAGTATCTGGTTTTCTTTTAAAGCTGTGAAGACCCATCTGATCGGTTGGGATCTATGACAATCACGTCACAATATTTTCTTTTAGCTCCTCAAGCATTTTTATTTTATGAAAACTGTACAGGAGTAGTTGTTAGGAAACCCAAGGGGTCAAATGAAGTTTCTCTGAGCTCTGCGCAGATACCAATGTTCAATAGCCACTAGTTACTCTTGGAACAGTTGTTGGTTGAAATAATAATTCTAAGTTATACAATGACAGTGCTAGGTCTGCTGGGGTTGGGGTTGGCTCCTCGGGGTATGGGACAGCTCACAGAAATGGGGAGATGGGAACCGCTTTGGTTTATATCTAGATGCCCCCCTACAGCCTCATATACTCAGAGGCAGGGCTTGTGCAAGGTGATTGGGCTGCTACCTCTGGTGTTAGGGAGTGGGGTCCAGTGGAAGAGGTGGGTCACTGGGGAGTGACCTGGGAGGGTTTATCTCCTTCCCTGGCTCCTCCCTTCACTCTCTGCTTTCCGACCTCCCTTAGGTGAGCAGCTTTCCTCTGCCCAGAACCTTGGACCATGCCTCTGACCATGTAAGAGCGGGAACTTCTAAAACAGCCAAGATAAACCTCTCCTCCTTTAAATTGTGGGTATTGTCCCGGTGAAGAGGAAAGTGACAAAGACAGGCACCTCCCTAGCCACCTCACAACATCTCTAGGAAGTATTTGTCATCGTTCTCATTCTGTGGGTGTGGAAACTGAGGCTCGCTCGGGCTGCTCAACTTTCATAATGGTCAGCGGGTTTCGGCTGCACACTTGTTTTGTCCATTCTTCCCTGCATTCGTCCCTGAAAGGGCCTTTGCAGTCTCAGCTCACTAAGTGAGAACAGGCTCAGTCAGTCGTCCTGACTGAGCAGCTGGGGTCTGTGTCCCATTCATGTCTCTCTTCACACCCAGGCTCTGGCCCAGATGACGTCTTCTGTAATGTCAAGGTGTTGAAGAGACTTGAGTGGCAATTTCAGTGCTTAGCAACCGTGTTTGTTTTTGTTTCAGCTTGGTTTTCCTTCAGCATCCAGCTGTGGATCTCTTCTTCTGTTGAAGGTGAGATCAGTTCAGCATCTGCAGAGTGGCTCTGCACCGGGTGGTCTTACTTCCAAAGAGCAGGTACAGTTGCCAAACTCTGTGCCCCATTCTTAGGCCTAGAAAATACGAGTCCTCCCATATCTGTGGCTTTGCTTTCCTTGGTTCCAGCTACCTGTGGTCAATAGCAGGCTGAAAACATTAAATGGAAAATTCCAGAAATAATTCATAGACTTTACATTGCATTCTATTTTGAGTAGTATGATGAAATCCCATTCTGTCACATTCCACCCAGTGTGGGACATGAATCATCCCTTTGTCCATCATTTCCACACTGTATATACTACTCACCTGTTAGTAATTTATAGCTGGTCTTGGTATCACTGGGCTTGGGTTCAGGTAACCCCTGCTTTACTTACTAATGACCCAAAGCACAAGAGGGGTGATGCTGGCAGTTCAGATAGGCAGAAGAGAAGCCATAAAGTGCTTCCTCTAAGTGTAACATAAAAGTTTACCATATCTATGTATCTATCCCTATCTTTATAAGTAGAGATAAAGAGAGAGCTTGGTACTATCTGCAGTTTCAGGCACCCACGGTGGTTTTTGGAATGGATCCCTTGTGCACAAGCAGAGACTGTTCTATAGTCAGGTGGTAAACAGGTCACCAGCCCTCACGATCTGAATTACACCCCAGTGACCTAATGGAATCCCAATATTTTCTTGGACAAATTAGGTCAACACCACCTCTGAGTTAACTCTTCCTTCTATACCTTAGGAATGGCTGGCTTAAGCTTATTTTATATTTTCAAAATACAAAGGAGGTATGTTCATTGTAGAAACATTAGATATACAAATACGCAAAATAGAATTTAAAAACATCTGCCCTTTCATTTCCCAGTGATAACCACTGTTTATACTTTGATGTGTCCCTTTCCGGCTCTTTTATACATCTGTCCCCAGTGGCCAGTAATCTGCCAGATATCTGGGTGCTGACATTGCTCTCCGTGTGTTAGGGATGGGAGTAGGGGTTGTGATTTCAAGATATTCAGAGCAGATATTGGTTGATATCTGTTTTTCCACTTGTCAGAACACAGTGAGAAATTCTTCACCTCTTTAATTAGGATACTCTGTGTTTAGACATGGAGTTTTCTTTGTTTATACAGGCTGTCCTGAAGTCTCTTTTTAAAATTTAAAATTACATTACTAACATTTTTCTATGCTAACATATTTTATCAGAAGGGTGGTACCCCCGTTCTGTGTGTGCCATTACCTCTTTATGGAGTTATCTGCTACTCCATATTTAGTTGTTGTCTTTGCTCCCACTTTTTTCAATTATAGATAATGCATCTAGGAAAATCATTTTGCTGAATCTCAGTTTTTTCCCTTTAGGAAATATTCCTCATAGAAGTATTTCTGGATCAAAGGGGATATGCATATTTTTAAGGCTTTAAATACTTTTGCCAAATGACCTTCTCGAAAAATTACTCTTACTACCATTCCCATAACAATCCATGACAGTACTCACTTTTTTACAATATGCTGTTACAGTGCGCACACGCGCACACACACACACACACACACACACATTATTGCCAATCTGATAGAAGGGTTTAAAATTCATTGTTTAAAATTTGAGATATGATCATTTCTCATTACTTTTTTTCCCCTGGTTGAATTGCTGGAAAATAAACCTAAGAAATAAATTCCTGGGTCTTTGATGACTCTAGATGGAAACGCTTCTTTTCAAGTGTAGGTTTTATTCTTATTCAGGAAGGGCGAAGTCAACAAATCGGGAAATGATTTCTAAGAAGAGGGTAACACCTTTCTGGGGTGCATGTGAGGGAGCCTCAGGGCTGGTCAGGGAGCACAGGGAGCAGAGAAAGTTAGCCAGAAGCTTTATGACACAGGGCTTTGGAGCATAGCTGTCTCTGTCTGGTACCGGATCCCGGGCGTTTAGGGCAGGTGGATTGCGACCCAGCACAGTCAGTGGAGGAGGTGGTCAGGAGCAGAGGCTCCGCACTGCTTGATTTGCATGTGAAAGGCGCGTTTGCTAGTGCATTGTTGCTTCTTTAAGAAGTAGCTGCCTGGGGTGGGGTGGGGGAGGGCAGTCCCCGCAGGGCAGAGACTTCAGCCCCGGAAGCCTCAGAACAGGCAAAATCCAAGTCCCGGCTGACCCGGCCTGTCAGGAGTGTCTCTGGCTCATGGTGCTCTCAAGGGCGCCTGATCAAGGGTGTGAAATGCTCCAGTGCAAGCGGGACCGCTCAGCCTGTTAACCCTCCTCTTGCAGGCCCAAGATGGAAAATGAACGCTAACTTGTAGGGATCCCCTTGGAGCCCTGCACACTCGGGGGGCCCAAGGACACGCCCCGCCTCCCACCCAGCATGGATGAGAGACAGCAAGGCAGGGCTCAGAATGCATCACAAAATCAATCCTGGGCGATGTTATCAGGCCGCTAACTGCCGCTCGCCACAGAAGTGCTCCTGAGAAGCGAGGGTGAAGTCTTGCTACTTAGAGCTCACTTTTTCCTCAGTGCATACCCTATTTGGGGGCCTTTCTTATACATTGCATTCCACCACGGCTCTTTGCCAAGCAGTTTCCGTTCATGCCTCTGCCTCTGAGGCCAAGCTCCCGGGGGCTTGGTTTCAGCTGTGCCTCCCTCGGTCTTCGCCGGCTCCCTGTGAAATACAGCTAACGGATGGTGAATTTGGCCACAGAAGCCTATTATTGGAAGTGATGGAATACAGGAGGATTTATGGACTAGATTCTTTTCTGCTCCTTCAAGAATTACAAGCTAACCCCAAATTACAGCAAGAATTCCTACGGGTCAATAATTAAAAGCAAAAGGCAGCCTCTATGGGGGGAAACAGTGTGGTCTGGAAGCTATCTTTCAAATTGAAGCGGACTGTGTAACTCCCAAATATTATGGATACAAATTAGCTATGTTTGATCACTGGATCTTATTTACCCTAATTGTCTTCATTGCTGTGGTTTCCCCGTGCGTTTCGTTTAGAGAGCACTTGGTTTAGCTGCTCAGTGCTGAGCTCTGTGCTATAGTAGTGGGAGAGATGGGGCAGGAGAGAGAAATCTAGAAAGACAGAGAGGTAGACATGTTGGAAGAGAAGAAAGGAGGGAGAAGGAGAAAAGAGAGAGACAGGAGAAAAACAGGAGAGGGAACAGGGATCTAGGAGGGGAGGGGATAGGAGAGAAGAAAAGAGGAGAGACAAAGACAGGATTAGGGACAGAAAGGGGGAAAAGGAGACAAAGAGCAGGGAAGGCAGAGAAACAGACTGAGAGGGAAGTGAGAGGAACAGGGAAGGAAGAGGAGGAGAAAGAGAACGAGCAAGAGCGTTTACTTGAGATGTGTTTTCCCTCAAAGCCATACAAGTCTCTCCATTCAGTCCAAAGAGACATTAAAAACTGGCCCATTTTGTTAGATGAAGTGTTTTGCTTGTCTCTGGGAATGATTGATTCGAACTTGAGAAGAATTTGAAACTTGAGCAGCTAGGCAAGCAGGAATTATGGCCTTATCTAGAATTCCGGCAAAGCTGCAGACCGAGGCTGTTAGGACATCGGGCCAGAGATCTCTGAGAAGTAGCTTTCCCACAAGACTGCCAACACTTCAGAGCTATGAACGGCTGAGAAATATGGCAAGAATGTACCACTGCTTCAGTATCTTTTGTCCCTTTCTCTTGTTTGGGGTAAAAGTAAGAAACCAACGGATGCAAATCAAAGAATAAGCAAGGGTCCTCTGGGAGCCCTGGAGTCTGGGGACCTCACTTGCCTGGGTTTCTAGAATGTTGAGGCAGGCCCTCTTTCCGGGCTTCCTTCTACCTTCCCAGAACCAGGCCTGCAGTAGACATGGCACTTATTACAGAGGATGTGGATGGCTTGGCACACCGCCCCCTCTAGAGACCTGAACTCAAATCCTGGCTTGATTTGGAAGAGAAAACAAGACTCATGGTCTTGGCCCAGTTTTCACAGGCACGTATCCCATAACCCTTGCACACACAAGCACACACACATGCGTGGATACAAACACACACACACACACTTTGTGCACATCCTAGGAAAGGCCCCGGGGAAAGATGGAAGAAGTACGGTCAGTGGGATTGTGGCAGCCGCCTCACCTCCCTCTGGGTTGCCTGTGGCTGGAAGTCAGTCCCCTGCCTTTGACAAGTACCTTGCTCCAGCTTCCCCCTCACCGTGCCTACCACGGTGTTCCCTCATACTAGTGCCTCTCAGCAATAAACACTGGAACTGGGGAGCTGTGTGTACAGTGCCACCCTTGTTCTCAGGGGGAAGCATGCTGGGACTGTGTGTGTGTGTGTGCGCGTGCATGCACACACACAAGCACAGAGATTATGGTGATGCTAGGGACCGAGTCCAGGATGAGGCATGAATAGCTGGCTGCATCTCTGATAAGCTAAGAATCCTTGCAGCCGTCTATTCCTATGGCACAGTGGATTTTCTCTCAAATGCCCTAGTCCTAGGGAAACACTTTGTCTTTTTCTTGTCTTTCAGCAAAGGATGCAGGCAGCACATCTTTGAGCACTCAGACAGAAGGCCCCAGCCCAGGTGTCCAGATCTGGCTCCCTGGGGCCATGCAGGAGGAGGATAGGAGGGCAGACCCTCCCTGGAGTGGGGGGTGGTGCCCTGGGTGCACACCGAGGCTGGGGCCGCCTACTCCAGTCTCTTCTGCAGACCAGGAGACCTCAGTGAAAACAGCACGTGGGGAAAGTTTAGGTAGTCATTTTTTTTCTTCTCTCCCCAGAATAAAAGTCCAATATTGTAGATTCAAAGAAGAGTTTTGTTTGCTTTTGTTTTTCTACCTATACAGAGAGCCACTGAATTTCACAGGCTCTTCTGACTGACTTTCTAGGTAAATCCTGTGGATCATAATGAGATTTATATTGCCTTAGTGAAAAGGACAGACAAGGGTAGGCTTTGTCAGGGAAGAAGGAACCAAGAATTACTCCAAGTGTCTAGAAAATGTTCACCCCTTGCTTTGTGGGCCAAAGAATTCTGTACAGACATAAAGCCTACCAAAGCTTTCTATCTGTTTCTATGAGAAATTTGTTTAAAGTCATCCACAAACACATAATATTTTGCTTTAAGATGACAATATTTTAAAATAAGTGACCTTGTAGTTATCACTAAGTCATCTCTTAAGTTTTATTTTTGTTTGCTAGAAACTTGTTGGACTTCCATTGATCATAATTATTATTATGTGTTTGGTGTATGAAAATAGCCTGTTAAAACTGTACTTGAGTTTATTTCACAGCCTACCATGTAGTAACAATAACAAGAAAATACGTATCTATCTCCAACTCTTGATCGGTTCCGTTATTTCAAGTCAGTAACAATTACTTATTTGGTACTTGCTTGTCCTTAACTTGAGGTAATAGAATCTTTCATAAACCATACCTTTATTTTCCCCAGTGGTGGGGATCGAACCCAGGGCCCTGCACATGCTAAATAAGTGACTACCACTGAGCTACATCCCCAGCCAGAAAATATATCCCCAAGAGCTTATCCCTTATCATTTATAGATTTAGGGCCATCACAAAAACCTGCGATTTATGTAAGCTCATTAGTCTTAATTCTAAACGTGTTTCTGCCACTCAAAAGCTCACTAGACACAAACTACAAGTGGGTCTGTCCTCTTTCTCATGATGTGCACAGCCCCGCACGTGTGACTGCATTAACACGTGAACTGCAGCCTAACCACGCATGTGTAGAAATGCATGCATGTTTTCCTCTCTGACTCCTTAGATGAGAATGTCTACTTGAAATAGAGTGGGTTGTATCAAGATTACATTTCACTTCTACAAATTCAATTTTATGAGTTTAGCAAAAAGCAAACAACCTTAAACAGCGTGGTCAGCTACGCCCACTCTGAACGCAGGTGGCAGCGTGGACGGAGGGGCGTGGTCTGGACACGGGGTCGCCAGAGCGTGAAAGTCGGCTGTCTCCTGGGGTGAACATCCCTGGAGCTGGCGGTGAGTCCGGGCCTTGGAGGCAAAAGAACCCACATCGACGACTTCATCGGGTGTCAGTTCCTCCAGGGCTCCCGGCGATGCCCGCAGGGCCTGGGCTCCAGACCAGCGCAGGCTCTCCAGGACGGCCCGCCGCGGTGCCCTCTGCCCCTCTCGGGCACGGACTGACATCAGGGGCTGCCCCGTGGGGCAGCAGCCATTTACCCCCAAATCAATGACAGGTGGATCTTTTTCAGCACAATTTGATTTCCTGGCCTCTTTCTCACTTTTGCTTCCCGATGTTACTGTGATCCTCTCCTGAACTTCAGCCCACTCTGCAGGCGCCGTGGCCAGCTGAGCAAACCCAGGGCCCAGAGCCGGGCCTGAGAGTGAGAAGCAGAGCCAGCAACTCCCGCGGCTCGGAATGCTCCGTTCAGGGCAGCGCTTCCCTTGGCGAGAGCAGCTTTTGACACAGAAGCGATTTCTCTTCTGTGTTCCGCGTACAATTCTTGCAGAAACAGCCCTGGCCTCAAAGGTGCCTTTTCAGTGGTTGTAGGGGGGGCAACCATTTCTGCTCAAACATAGGTCTAGCTGGCTTCTCATCGTCTACTTTTAAAAGCAGTGTTTAATGAGAATGGACCCTTCCAGCTAGGAAGCTGGATTTTTATCATTTTCTTTTTCTTAATTTTATTGGTACATTTTAGGTATACAATATGATGACATTAATCATTGGAAATTTGTACCTTTACATAATGTATCTGGGTTCTTATTTTGTCCCCAGTCCCCTGCCCTCCCTTCGATTTTTATCATTTTCGATAGCTGTTATGCATCAGAGTTAATCACCTTCAGATATTTTGAGCTTCTTTAGTCATGAACCAAATGTTCAAATAGATTGTTTGAAAATTTGGAGTGAGTTTGGGGTTTCTGAGCACACATGGGTAATGCATCTCCTTTGAACAAGTGATCCAAGTTGCCGTTTAATGGAACAAAAGTGTCCAAGAGAGACTGAGACTCTCAGTGTTCTCTCTGTGGGGGCCACAGCAGTCATCCTAAGCTGAAGTCCCATGTGCATGATCGTGAACCACAGGAGAGTCACCGATGTCACCAGGCCTTGCAGGCCCCGTTATAGTGGACGGCAGGGACAGAGACTGGAGGCTGAGGCACGCAGTGGTTAATCCTCCCGTGAGCTGGAGCCTTCCCCGGTCTCCAGGAGAAAGCGTCCAGCTGTCCTGCAGCTGCGCTGTGTGAAGTGCTGCTATGTGGGCATGCTGACAAAAAAGAGAAACTTCCAGAGAAAATGATTAGACATAAAATCTGCCTGGCAGGTCAAAGCCTTGCAGGATTTATATTGACACGAGCCCCGTCTTCATGGAGGCTCTGCTGTCCTGGATGTGAGGCTGTGGCAGATGTCAATTAGCCCTAACGTGCAGGGATCTTTATTTCTTCCTGGGGATGAGTAGGTGTATTTCCATTTTTTGCCTACTCCCCTCTCTAGGTTGATGAACAAGTCCACTGTGTTATAAGACCTCCGCAGAAGTTACCAAAAACTGTTTTCCAAGCTTCCTCCCCCATTTCTCCCTCAGAGAAGGGACAAGATCCTCTACTCCTCCACTCACCTTCACGTTCCAACTGGAGGCGTATTACATGCATCTAATTTCTCTTCACTACGGCAAGACTTATGCTCCTGAGCATCTAAGTGGGAGGAAAATTCATATTTAATCTTAAATTTATGGGGGACTATCATGTAGGGGCTATACTGCTATGAAAAGTGTCTTCCCCAAATTCACACACAGTTGGAACCTGTGACTGTGACTTTATTTGGAAACAGGATGTAATCAAGCTACGATGGGGTCACACTGGAGACAGGCAGGGCTCAATCCGACATGGTTGGTGCTCTTGTTAGAAGAGTGGGGTTTGGACGCAGACGCACATGGGAGGACGCCACATGACGGAGGCAGAGACTGGGGTGGGGCAGGTGCTGCAGCGGGAGAGCCAAGGATCCCAGGCAAGTGGCTGAAGCTAGGTGAGAGGCATGGCACAGGCTACACTTCAGGGCCTGTAGGAAGAATCAACCCAGCCACCACCTGAGTTTCAGACTTCTGGCCTTTAGAACTTGGAGAGCATAAGTTATTGTTTGCAGCCACCCAGTTTGACGTAATCTTCTATTGCAGGCCTGGGAAATTTCCATTTATCATTCTTTATTCCTTACAGACTTTTTAGGATTTTCCTCTTTTCCCATCCCAATAAGAATTGATGTGTCTTTTATTTTCCTTTGTGGCAGAAAAGGCAAAGAGGCATGAGTCTCCCAGATAAGCCAGAAATGGTGAGAAGTCCCTCTGATGAGCAGGACAGTCTTCTGGTCTAGATGAACTTTGCTCCTGTTTCTCCGGTTGTCCTCAAATGCATGCTGAGGACCCACCCACAGCTTGGCTCTGTATCTTACCTCACTTTCTCTTCTTAGGCTCCAGCTCCTCCTGTTTTTCTCTCTGCCCTGAACTGTGCTGGCCAATGAGCAGCACAGGTTAGAGTGGAAAGAAGTGGAGAGAAGCTGGTACAAATCATGGCTCTAAGACCACAATGATTTATATGTTGATGCCAGTTCTGTCAAAGGGTTTTCATCAGTCTGCGGGGAGTCTTGAAACATCTTTTCATCAGGACCGTGAAAGAATCGGGGAGATTCAGCATATGTGTGTGCTTACAAATGACGACAAAGATAAATCTACCCAGAATGAAAATTAATACAATCACTCCAGAAAACTGTCTGGAAATATCTCCTAGAGCTGAATGTAGGCATTCCCTGAGTCGACAATCCAACGTATATTATCCAACAGAAATGCATACGTCACGTCCACCAAAAGACATGTATAGTGTACTCATGGTCACACAATTTTTCATAACCCTCAACATGGAAATGACTCAGATATTCTTCTAGGATAGGATGGATCAATATTGTATAATGTGTTCATAAGATGGAAAACTACATAGCAATGCTAATGAACCTGCGTGACCATATCAATGAATGCCACAAACATGATATCTAGCAAATGAACGTAGACGTAAAAAAGTGCAATGTTATTTACATAAAGCTAAAAAACAGGCAGGAAATCAGAACTATGGTATTAAGATCAGGGTAAAATCCACCATAGGCAGTGGAGCGACTATACCCAGGGGGCATGTGGAGGGGCCCAGTAACGTCTGTTTCGCAAGTTGGAAACTGTCGACATGGGTGTGCTCCCAGTTTGAAAATTCATGCAGCTGTCACTTGGTCCACAGTTCCCTGGCACTCCCGCGCTCCAGTCTCCTTCCTTCAGTCTTCCAGTGAGGCCAGCAGCGTTCAGTAACACAAAGCAGCCAACCAAGGACTTCGACGAGAGCTTTCCAGAGGGGTCTCTGATGTGCAGAATCCTAGTGGGCTGCAGCAGAGGACAACACAGGGCCCTTCTTTTCTGTAGCCATACTCTCCTGGGCCTCAGGACAACACAATATGTAGTGAACGGCGCCATTCTGTGCTTGATCAGAGCTGCCTTGCTGACCCAATATCAGGCCAGAGGCTCCACAAGAAACAAATAGTGTGCACCAATTCTAACAATTTGAGGGGATTGATATGAGGGCCTAGTGACAGAGGTGCTATCAGGGTGTAGAGAAAAGCCAAGTGGCGCTAGAGTAACATCCAGGGTTATTATGCTCCTCTGCCTGATGGGTGAAGGTGAGGGTTATAGGGACCTGGAAGGAGAGAGTCCTGTGTAGGAGGTCACCTGGAGAAGGACTGTCCTCCTCAGTTCAGGGGAAATCATCATATGCCAGCCCATTTTCATTGTTACTATGAAATGCCCAGGGCAGGCTAAGCTTAGAAATAAAGAAGTTTGTGTAGCTCACAGTTTGGAGCCTCACTGCTTTGGCCTCTAAGGTCTCAATGGCCGATGACATGATGGCAGGCAGGGAGAGATCCCATCATCAAACAGGAAGCCAGAAAATGGCTTAGGGAGCTGGCAGGTATTTTATTCCCTCTGCAGGCAGCTCCCAGTGATAAAGGACCTCCCACAGAGCTCACCTCTCAGAGGTTCCACACCACCCACCCTGAAGACCAGGCTTCCAACCCACAAACTCTTGGGGGACAAACCACATCCACACCTTGGAAGCCCATTGGAAGCAACTCCTCCAGAAGGCAGCTGAGGGTCAAATACTCTGACCTGGCTCTCTATGGCCAAGCCCTACTGGAGGCCAGTGGCTGGGGAGTTGTCGGTGAGGCTCACACAGGCCGGGCTCCCACAGTCCCAGGCGGTGTGGAGAAGGCTGCAGAGTGGATCTGTAGGAACTCAAGCAGCAGGCATCTGGTGCAGATTTGGCGAGACCAGCAAGAGCCACAAGGTCCTGCCTTTGTTGGCCCTGCCCTCTGTACCACAGCTGAGGATGCCCATGGCTTTGGCTGGGGAGCAACATGGGCTCGTGTTTGCCTAATTCATTAGTTTTCAATGCCATCTTAGAACTGTTCTGATCACTGACATGGTCACAAAAGGATGCTTAGCTAAGTTAAAGAACAGAGTGAATTCCTCACACCAGGATTACTCTCCTGGAAGAAACACACAGCAATAAGACCTGCTTTACTATATTTCCTTTCTGAAACCTCTTTCTCGAAGTTTGTTAAACACGAATGTAATGAAATCTAAAACAGGAGAAGGTGGAAGTTGTTGAATGTGAGCCAGGGGGTGGGTGGGTGGGGGAAGAGATGACTAAGATGGAAACAGGAACCAGCAACAGCAAATTAAGGGGCAGGGGATGAGATTCTAGTTCCTGGCCCCTCCCTAAGACCTCACACTCCTTTCTCCCAACACAGCATGACCCACCCGAAGCTCCAGGCTCTCAGCTCACAGGGGAGGACCTTCCATTTATTTGCTTTGTATTTATCTTAAACTTATTAGAGGAGAAGAGATGGGAGGGACCTCCATGATTGTGGTCTGTGTTTATTTAAATCATGAATTCTCTGTTGGAGTATGAGATGCACCCAGAAATGTGCCCACACAAGCAAACAGCCCAGTGAATTTTCTCACCGCGGACACGCCTGAAGAGACAGCAGTCTTTGACATTGTCCTGAGCCCTGTGTGCACTCGGCTGACAAGTGAGGCCCAGGACCAAGGGGGTGGTATGTGGCAGTGGCCTGTGGGTGAGGGGTTCATAAATCAGATCAGCCTGCTTGTTTCTGGTGCACTCAGAAAGTGATGGGCTTTCTTGGGGAGAAAAAATATTGTAGAAATGTGCTTGCTTAAAGTTCTGGAAAGGAAAGAAAAACAAGATAGTTAAGTGGGATGGGATGGGTTGAAGATTATACAGGAAGCATTATGCCATATTTTATAGAAATAGTGGCATATCAATCTTTTGTGTCTGACTTCCTTTACTTATCTGGAAGAAGCAAGAAGCATTAAAAATGTCACAGATAAACGTAGTTGATTCTAAGGCATGTCCGGCAGAACTATGAACATTTGGGATGGTTTTAGTGTAAGAAGATGTGTTTACAGAAACAGAATTGAAATCTTCGGGGTGACACCGGGCTTAATAAAAATGTCTGGCTTGATTTTTGTACTTTATCACCTGAAATTCAGTAGAATGAGTCAGAAGACAAGTAATCTAATATATATTGCTACTCCATCAAATTCACCGTCACAGTGGGCCATGGATTTAATGATACTGACCAGACTTTACAAGTATTGGGTTCTCTTGGCCCATTAATAATATTTAGGGTGTGTAGTAACCACAAATGAAGTTATGGTGGCAAGGCCTATAATAATGAGCCCTCAGGTCTTGGGGCTTATCCTACTTTCTGGTTATGTGTTCCATATAGGATTACATAATTGGCTAGCAAATGTATAATAGTTTGGATGAAATAATGGCATAGTCTGACTTCCTAAGTCCCTCACACTCTGAAAACCAGATTCATCCAAAAACTTTAAAAACCAAATAAATATTCCTTCAAGTGATTACTGCATTCCAGTTGTCATCTGGCTTGTAATGACTGCTTTTCAGTGTTCGGTGATGGCCTGAGCCTAAAATAAATCTTGTACCGATCCTCCTTGTCAGCACAGGCATTAAAGCCCATAAACCATCCTCTGCTGTGCCTGTCAGTGTCCTCGGTCCTGACTAATATAACCCTGCCTCGCCAGCTCCGGCTGTCCCCAGACACACATTTCATGGCTGTGTTTGCCTAAGCCAGATGAAAGTGATTATAAACTACAAGGGCTCTTTTGATATGACCTATTCAGAGCTGTTATTTTTTGGTGGGGGTGGCAGGGAGCATTGGCACAGGGTGGGTGAGAAGTGGGCACGGCCTCCTGACACCCAGGGCAATGCCCTGGCTGCGTCTCCTGCTCAGCCCCAGTCCCAGTCTCCCACACTGCTGTGTGCTGCCCTCCCCAAGTCCTTCCACTGGGAAAGAATGTTCGACATTCAAGCTATTCCAAGCAGCATCCTTGATGTCTCATTTCATGGGTCCGCTTCACACCGCGGTGACGGTTGGCTGTTAACTCTCATACCTCGGCTGTTTGTCTTGGCAGAGCCCTCTGTTTTGTTAACTGGACAGAATCAGGCCAAGGCAGTCTCCCCTGCATACAAGGGAAGGGGTGCCATCTGTCATCCTCTGGCCAGCAGGACGCCCTTCTGAGTCCTCCAGGCAGGGCTGGAGGGTGAATGACCTTCATCTTTCTCATTCTCTGAGCTGCCAAAAAAGTGGTGAAGGAATGGTTTTACTTACAACCTTTTGGAGAAACTTTGCAGCAAAATACATGCTGAGAGTTGGTAAGGCTGAGTCAGCAGTGAATACCTGGGGTCAGGAGAAGGAGGAGACCTGGGAGGACACCTGGGGCTGCTTCCTCCTCCCTGGTCAGTCCTTCTATGAGGAAGTGCTTTGCTCACTACCCATGATATGAAAAGTGTCTGTGTGGGAGGTGGCATGATTTTCACTGTTCTGTGTGATGTGTCCCCAAGATCCTCACCCAGAGGACTCAGGAGAATTAGCCCAGGCTATCAATTTCAGATCTAGAGGCTCATCAAAATGGACAGATGCCACCTGATGCCAAAGGGAAGGAGAATGGGTGAGGGGACATACAGCTGTAGCATAGAATGTTCCTTGAGTTAGGGATAAAGTTGAACATCAGATTGTAGAGTTTGAAAGGCAGAACAGGGAATTCAGGAAGATGATAAAGAATTGGGAAGATGAGTTCTAGTCAAATGTCAGACAGGATTCCTTCACTATTGGTTTCTGCTGAGGGAAGCAGGAACACAAAGCTGGAATGTGCATCCAACAGTGACTGCCATATTTTTGTGACTCGTGGCCTGTCTTTCATAAGAGCCTTCAAGAAATGTTTGCTAAATTCTCTCAGTTTGATTCTTTCATTGACTTTAACTGAAGGTTTTCATATTTCATCACATGTTCAAAGGTCCTCCAAGGTAAAGAAAGAGCCTTTGGACAAGTCCAAAATAATGAAAGCAGGAGATAGCCCCTGGGCACCACCTGCTGTGAGTGGGTCGAGGTGGTGCTGGGGAGGAGGGCTTAGCTTGCCTTGGCCCAAGCAGCAAGGAGTCAGAACAGTGCTTGGGGTTAACTGAGAGGGTTAAGAGGACTGAGTCAAAGCAGAAGAGAGAAAGAAAACCAGCGTCTTAAGTCACAGCCTTTGTCTACGAGAATCGGCTTGGAAGGGTCAATAATTAGAGATTTCAACCCGAATAGTTATCTCTGTGGAAGGAAATGTCACCAAGGATCTAAACGAGCGATAACTGAATGATAAGGAAAGCACTGCTTTGCAAAGCTTACATAATAGGGGGAAATTTTTTTAAAAAAAAATCTCACAGAAAAATGACAATTAAAGCAACTTTTGTCCTCTTCTGGCAGGGCTTTGGGGCCTCTCTTCCTGAGGCTGTCCTAGTGGGGCACCTTTGTCTAATTTTTTTCCCTCACTGGATTGTTCCGGGTCCAGTCCCATGGCACAGATTCAGTGCCTGGTTATGAGGCCTTGGGGAAGTTATTTGACCTTATGGAGCCTCTGCTGACTCATGTAGGAATAGGAAGAATATTAACTGCCTCCTGGAATTCTTATGATACATCAGACTGTGCTGAGTGCTGAGATAATATCTGGATAAAATGTGCACAACTGAATTTTGCCATTTACATCAGATTCTGACTTTTTGTTTAGGGAAATAGGAAAGTGTTGAGTCAGAATGATCACATTGTTCCTCTCTGCCTCTTACACCAAAAACTCCATTTCTACAGGCAAACACTTCCCACTTCCCCTTGTATCGTGTTTCAGTGTCTTCCATCATGGACAGCCAGGAAGTGTTCTCTTGTGTGTGAACCTATCACTCCTCTAGTTGGTGGCAGTGAGCATAGGTGTTCTCTTACCACCCAAAGAGCAAAGTTGCATGCAGATGTTACCCTCAAGCTTTGGGGAGAGAAAAGGCTCACATTTTGATGTGAGAGGATGGGGAATGTTCCAGAAAATGGAGCTCCAGAATGACACCACCGTAGAAGGGCATCGCTCAGAACATAATGCACGTGTGGGGTCCTGGGTGCTCGATGCTGTCACTGCCATTCACCTGCCTGGGATGCAGCTCCAGGTCTCCAGGTCTGAGCCCTCCCAGCTGTCTGGTGGAGGTGCCTTCACTGCCTCTCAATTTATGCCGCTGGTCCTTCCTTTCAGCCATGCCCTTTAGGGGAGGTGGGTTGGCTTCCTAGCATGGGCATCCCCACTTTCTTGTCCTCACCCCTTTCCACTTGCCATATTCTCTCTCTCACACATGCACAGGGCCCCCACCTACTATGATTTAAGACGCTGCCCTCAGCCTGACCCTGGTGAGACCCCACCGGTTCTGTCAACTGTGAAACTGGAGTGATGACATGTGGGTGAAAACACCGAAGACCAGGAGGAGAAGGAAGGCTGAGGAATAGAGCTCATTTCTGCTCATCTAATTCCTCATCCTTTCACTGTGGAGCCCTGGGGTTCTTGGCTGTAGGAGCGAGAGCACCAACAGCTCTTACCACTTGCTGAAGTTTGGATCTCGAATGTCTCCAAGGTCCATGTGTTAAAGGCTCGGTCTGGCTTGGCACTATGGGAAGATGGTAGAAGCACTGAGAGGCAGGGCCTTGTGGGAAGCCCTTAGGACACTGGGGATGTGGCTGTGAAGGCCACACTGGGACCCCAGTCCCTTCCTCTCCTCATTTCACTTCCACGCAATGAAGTGAGTGGTTTTCTCTGCCTTGTGCTCTCACCATGATGAGCCACCTCTGCTTAAGCCCAAAGCAATGGAGACAACCATGGCCTGGAACCTCCAAAGCTGTGAGCCCAAATCATGCCCCAATGAGCTGCGTGTCTCAGGGGCTTTGTTATAGTGATGGAAAACTGACTCACATCTCACCCTTCTTGGAGGGTAGCAGGGTGTATGAGAAATATATAGGAATGTATAGGAAATAAAGATCTGACAAGAAAGATGTAAGTTACGCCCAGACATTAAAAACAATAGAAAGTGTCCACCTAGGGTTATCCTAAGTGTGTTAGCCATGAACGTTAACCGCATCCCTGTAAGACTGGTGCTAGTGTGGCCTGACCTCCCATTTGGGAACCTTTCAGCTCATGTCCAAGGTCACCCACCTAGTTAGGGGAGACTCAGAATTCCAGTCCAGTCATAGCAGGTGCAGTCAAACCTGAGGGTCAGTGTGCCTGCCTGCCAGTTTTCAGATGGTTTGGAAATTAAGAGTGGTTTTTACACCTTTAAATTAAAATTGATAAAATGAAAGTGATATTTCATGACACAGAAAATCAAAAGTCGGTGTCTGCCCTGTGTCGGGCCTGAGAATGGTACTTCGTTTCCTCCCTACTCCCTTTCGCCTCCATAGATTAGAGACCCTGGACAGCACAGCCCGGGAAGGGCGTTACCTTGTATCCTTCCCTGTTTCCTTCCTGCGCAGGCCCAGATCACGCTACGTTCCGCCTAGGCCACGTAGGCCACGTAGCACTATTTGCCCCGCCTTCTCTTCCTGTTTGCTTCCACTATAAATAAAGAGCGCTGGCGCTCCACGAGGCCGTTAGCTCCCGACGAGCTGCGGTTCCACCTGGTGCCAACCTTCAAGCATAGTCTTGGTATGTATCCTTCTCTCTTGGTCTCATCACTTTTTCTTCGTCTCCCACTGCTCTCCCCGGCTTCGGACCCTACGCTGTGCGGGTCGCAGCAAGGTCCACACATTCAGCTTTCTGGGAACACAGCTGCACTCCGTTTTGTACATTGTCCATGGCTATGTGTGCAGAGCCGAGAGGCTGTGACAGAAGCTACAGTCTGTCCACAAGAATGAAAATGTCACTGTCCGACCCTTTGCAGGAAACGCTTGGCAAGCTCTGCTCTAAACCCATGGCTCTCGGGCTTTAGCAGAGATCCGAGTCCCTGGGCGGTCTGTGAGAATGCAGACTGCTGATCCCATCCCTAGGTTCCCAATTCGGTAGTGCTGGTGCAGGGCCTAAGAACTGCATCTCCACAAATTCTCCCAGGGATTCTGACCCCGGTCCAGGGACCACTCTTAGAGCCCCTGCTCTGAGTTACCAGAACGTCCTGCCTGTTGCCCCGGGCAGATTCTAGCAATGAACAAGTGGTCTACAAGTCCTTTGTGTCACATGGAAAGGAACCACCTTCTTAGCAAGGGCCTCGTGAGTCTTCTGTTGAGTTGTGACTTGGGTACCAAGCTCATTGGACATGTGAGACCACACTTGTCTTTGGAGGGAACACCTGCTCACACTTAGGACAACTATGATGGGCCTTGGTCAAGGACGCGGTGGAGACCCGTGCTGCTGAACAACAGACACTAAGCAGGGTACCCCAGTCCCTCTCTGTAAGCATGCAAGGGGACAGGTGACTTTGCTGTCTGCAGTGATGCTGCCCTGACCTGTGGACGGTTTGTAGCCTGTGGCCATGGAGGATGGGCCCAAGCCCTGAGGCCATGGACTGTGGGCTGGATGTTTCCATGTTCCCTTGCAGTAGCTGCCCAAGTTGTAGGTTGGTCGGTCGTGTTGTCTGCTCAGGTCTTGAGGGATTCGACTGGCAGGACCGGGACATCAGAAGAATGGCCCAGTGTTGTGCAACAACCAGGAGGCTGACCCTGAGCTTAGCATGAGATGTCCTCTCCGAAGTGACAATTTTGGTGGGTTGGAGGCACTAGGACTGGGGAGAGGGAGAAGTTGGGCTGTGGAAGTTGTCACAGAATGGCGGTAGCCTTTCTGTCATGAAGCCCTCCATGGGCAGTTGCCTGGTCACTGCTGGGAGGGTGCTTTGTGTTGAGACTGCTCAGGGGTTCTCAGAGCTGAATATCTCAGGTGTTGTTGACAAGCATCGTTGTGTTTAGAGATTTTAAAGGGGGAAAGCGTCTCCATTCCTTCTGAGGTGGCAAACAGGAAGGGGACCGCCCATTCCTTGGAAGCAGGTATCTAAGGGAATGATATCCCGATTTTACTTTGGCTTCTTTTTTTCAGTGCTGGGGATGGAACCCAGGGCCTCATGCTGGGAAAGTGCTCTCCAGCTGAGAGTACTGCGATACTAGAATTTTATGTTTGACTTCATTATACAAGAAAATAACAGATTTAGCTGGACTTATAATTCAGGTTGTGGTTCATTATAAGTTTAAATACCTTTGAAATACTTACAAGATGATCGTGTATTTTTCTCCGATTGTTGAAATGCCACAATTTAATCCACACCTCTGTAAGCATTTGAGTCACAGCTCCCATCCCCAGGTCTGTAGCAAGTGTTCGTGCATCTATGGGGAAACACACTTATGAGGAGATACCACTCATTAAGCTAAATTGATTGTATTTCAAGTATTTTTATTCTGATAATATGCCATATATCTCTTTTGTACTTTTTGGTATAAAATTTTTCTTCCTCTTATGAAATATTAGGGATTTTAGATGGTGGAGTGTAAAAATATGTTTTCACTTGGCAAAATAAAGATTTGGAAACCAAATATGTTCCTCTCAAAGTGTTTCTAAATGTTACTTATCTCATCTCTGAAATCTAGTCAATACAAGGCCCATTGATCTCGTGAACTATGCCTCCTGTGTAATCCAGACCAAAATTTGTAAAGCACTAAACAGTTTGTATAACATCTCTATGTCTAGTGTCTTTAAGGTACGAAGAGTGGAATATACTGGCCAACACATAACATTTATGCTTCTGCGTGACCGGGGCTGCACACCAGCTCTGCTGGCATCTTCTTTACCATGGTTAGAATCTGGGATAAATCTCGTGATTTCTCTAATCACATTGCAATTTTAAAGGAAAACCTCCACTGGTCACGTCTAGTCCCTCAATTTAATTTTAACAACTAAAAGGCTACTTCTGTGTAAAAATACTAACTCCAAACCTCTGAGAGTAAGAAAAGAAAATGCCACGGAATTCTAAAAACTTTGTCCAAAAAAATCCTCTCTTCTTGTTTTTTCAGTGTTAGCCATTTTGTGCCCTAAAGTGTCGGGCTGAAGTTGTAAAGCCGGCGCTGGAGACTTTCCCTGAGAGGTCCTGGCACCGTGACCAGGGAACTGACCAATGGCGTGGCCAAACTGGCCCTTGCTCTTTGTGTCCACCCTGTCTGTTTCCACTTTGGTCCCCTTTGCCCAGAACTGTGTATGCGGTTGTGTATGTGCCCTTTCTCCTTTTGGGTCACTTCTCTTCATCTGTCAAATGAGGGATGTGTCATTTTACAAGATCACACCGTGGCTAAGCCTCACGAAATCTCGCCTTCCCAATTCACGGCATCACAGAGCTACTACCTTTGCAGCTGCAGTAGGCCTTAACGGTTTTAAGCTAATTCCTTCATTTTACAGATAAGACAAAATCCACAGAGTTTAAATGGTGTGACGAGAGACAGGGAATGTCTTCTCAAATAGCTAAGGAAAAATTCCTTTTTAACACACACATTGGTATAGCCCCAGCTGGAGAGATGCCTGGCACAGTTTGGGAACCCTCTTTCAGAAAGAATACATGCAAAATAAAGTACAAAATTCTTACCAAGATAAAGAAAATGGTAACAATTACACATTTTTAAAACCTTCAAAACTACTACAAATAGTATAAAGTCCAGAAAAATAAGACCTTTTTACTTAACTGTCTAATCACTCTCTGTATATTTTTTCCCTTATTTTTTTTTTTTTTGGCTTTATATACTTCAGTTGCCTTTTTCTATGACCACAATTTTACACCATTATTTTTGTAGTGAGAATACTGAGATCATTTAGTCTTTCTTGCACAATTGATCAGAATTAGTTTCTGTTTAATTGGAAACATTTCTTTCAGTTTTACAACTCATTATTGATAACATCACATAAGTGTCAGTGTTGCTATCAAATTTTAGGTAACTTCTACCACCTTTCTTGCATAGGTAAGCTGTAAGATTTGGAAATTTTTTCCAAGGGTGGTTTTGGGCGCCATCTTTTTCAATGGTGTTTCTCATGTACTAGCTTTTACGCCCACAACTTAAAGGAGGAAATGTTTATTTTGGCCGTCGTCTCGGGTTTCAGTGCACGGTTTTCTGGTCTGGAGGCAGAAACCATGGTTGACAACGTGGTGGAGGAGAGCTGCTCACCTCATGGCAGCCAGGAAACAGAGCAGGTGGGAAAGAGCCAGAGAGAGAGAAAGAAACATGAGGCATGTCCCTGAAAGGCACTCTCACAGTGACCTGTTTCCTCCAGCTAAGTCACAGCTCCTAATAGTAACAGCCCATCCAGCTTGAAACTTTTATCAACAGGTTCCGCCACTGATGAGGTTAGCACCCTTAATGCATGAGTCTTGAGAGGACACTTAATGTTTGGATGTTAACATCTTCTTTGCGTGTACTTCTAGCGGCCAGCAGCCAGCTCCACAGAGCAGTTTTGAACAGCAGATCCCCATAACCCTGCACCCTGGGCTCACCATCCATATCAGTGGAAGGGGCATTGAGAGCATTCCTGGAAGCCCAGGCAATGCTTCCTTCTACAAAATGGACAAAGCAGTCAGTGGTCTGAATCAAGGAGTTTGGTTTTGTGGACAGAGAAAGGAGGAATAAAGCAGAAACAAAGCAGATTGGTCATCTCAAAGTTACTTTCTTTGTGGGCTTGGAAGAGGGAGACAGAACAATAGAAAAATAATGCATTAGCTCACATCAGGTTATTTCAAGTTACTTCTTTTGCATTAGGACTAGAGTGGAGAGAACTTTACGGTCATGTGGATTGAAACTGTTCTTTTCAGGAGTTTGGCTGACATTTCTCTAGTCTTGGTTCCTCAAAAGGTCAGATGAAACAATTTAGTTCAATCTTGGTGACAGGGGACTTCAGTGCAATTCTGTGTTGGTTATTTTAGCCTAGGTCTGTTGGGACCTAGTGAAGAAACTTAGTCCCAAACAATGGCTTCCTGTAACTCTTATTTAACAGTTTTGTGCTACATTCATTGATGCAACTCATTTGTCTCAAGTCAGCAAGACATTTTCATCTTATTCCCAAATGCTTATAAGATTCTTACATTTTCATTGATTAGCGCTTTGAATAATGCAATGGCTTATTCATGATTTCAACTCAATTTATCTATTCCTTTCCATGAATTACTTTTTGAATGATTTTAACGTTCTTTGATTAAATTCACTTCTTTAGATCAGAATAATTCCTATTTATTCTGTCACACATCTTCTTTATGCTGGTTCACATTCCACTGAATTTAAGCCTGACAAAATAAGATAGCCTTCATACATCCAAATCAAGACTTTAGGTGTTTTGTATATGTTTCCTCTTTCTAAATTGCAAGTAAAAATGTCTTCGCATTTTATCAAGCTTGCCATTCCCAACTGTGGGGGGCCTTGTCCCCCCCCCCCCCCCCCCGCTAGTACTCTTGAGTGCCTTTTACGGGCATGTCTAAGCCTGCTGCAAGTCTACCCGGTAACAAGGAAGTAGCCCCAGTACCCTCCCCTTGCTCCCTCCCTCTAGCCCTACGGTATATATGCTGTAGCAGCTTCCACAATAAAGGAGACTTGATCAGAAACCTGTCTTGTCTCCATCTCTCGTGTCCCCTGTCCTTTGTCATTCTCACTCCCCCTCTAGGGTCTCCGTTGACTTACCCGCGGGCCGGGACACCC